TGTGTATGTGTGTGTATGAGAGAGAGAGAGAGAGCAGCGTTTATATGGAGTGGGGTTTTGGACGTGGGTGGGTGTTGGGGCGTTGGGCAGGTTTGTGGGTGGGTGGGTGGGTGGGTGTTGGGGCGTTGGGCAGGTTTGTGGGTGGGTGGGTGGGCAGGTTTGTGGGTGGGTGGGTGGGTGGGTGGGGCGTTGGGGCGTTCGTCAGGTCCTTCCCCTCGCTCTTTCCAACTCCTCCGCCCTCCCCGCCTAGCGCCGCCTCCTGTTGATAGTGTTGCCCCGCAGGTAACCAGGATTGATCATCAACATTATCACCATTGTCATCATCGTCATCTTCATCATTATTATTATCATCATCATCCCTTTTTTTCCCCTTCCTTTCAAAGCTCCGCTCGAACTCCCCCTCCCGCTCCTGCTGCTGCTGCTGCGTGGCAGTTTCCTGACTCTCCTAACTCCCGCACCATCCGCTTAATTGGACTTTCCCTAACGGTTCTTCCTGCACCTATTCTCCCAACGTGAACATGTTGTCACCTCCAGTTTCCATGGACCGGACTTTTACGGCCTGCCGCGAAACACTGAACGAATAACGCTTGTACGTCAGCCTCAGCGGGTGCCCGACAGCTACGTGTTTGGGGACAGCGAAGTGGTCCCCATGTGGGCGGGGGAAGAGGTCCCCTGGAGCGTTTTGGATGCGTGAGCAGTGTAGGACCAATACCGATGTATCAGTAGGTGGGTTAGCTACCGTGTAGAGCAAGAGAGCGAGAAAGAGAGAGGCAGAGAGAGAGAGAGAGAGGGAGCGAGAGAGAGGAGGGGAGAGAGAGAGCCTGGCGGGGGGGGGGTACCTTGTAAGCGGATGGGAGGGTCGTACGGCATATCCTATCGCGACCCGGCTTAGGTATGATAAGGGAGATGTGTGGGCTTCGGGGGGTCACGCAACCTGGGTGGGAAGATGTTGGGTTCGTTTTATTTTCGGAGGTTTGACTGTTAGCGCGCGTCCGTTCACTGGCTCATAATGCTTCTGAAGAAGCAGAGGGGGCCAAGGAGGGGTTGTTTTGGTCCGTGACGAGGGGTCTCAGGGGTTTGACAGGCTGGAGAGGTGGGCGGACTGGGAACTGAAAGGAGACTGATAGGGGCTGGCTGTGCGGCTGGGGGCTGGCGCAGCACTTTTCTGGAATACAAATCAATTACCGTCGCCAGATGTAACCATCCTTGCAGCGGTTGATCGCGTGAATTATGGAAGCATGCATCGGCGGGTTTGTGGGCTGTGTGGGGGACGGCAAACGAATATACAGGGCTCCAGGTCAGCGGACGTGTTTCGGACGCGAGGCGGTCGACTCACTGTCAGGATGTTCGCTAGCTCTGCTAGCTCACTTATGACTTTCCAATAGTTGACTCACAGTTTTACGAGGCGTACACTCACTTATGTTTGGATCAGGGCTTGCATAAGGATGTTTGGAATAGAGGTCGCAATCCGGTGAGTCAATGCAAGGAGAACGCAAGAAGCAACAGCTAGTGGACCATGGGGTTCTGTAGCTGTCCGCAAATTTGTATCAGAGGTGGCAGGAGGAGGTAACCTCCTTCCCTGCTAGCAGGTCCCCAGTAAGTTCACAGGCCTGAAGGCTCCCCTGAGCTTATTACGTAAGGAAAACTACTGAAAGGCCGAATCTTGATAGTCGGAACTCAAATAGAGCCACGACGCGTGTTCCCTTTGCCTTCCAAGGTAATCCCTAATGTGTGGGACAGGGGGGCGTGCCATAGTAGTCCTGGATGGCTTGGATGTGTGGGACAGGGGGGCATATCTTCACCCGTGGCCGCTACCTGGCGAAACCCTGCCTTCCCCGGTATTTCGGGACACCCTCATCTAATCACCCTAGTCAACTCTTAGTGGATCGCTCAGGTTCCGCACCCACCACCGGCATCCAACGGAATCTGCCGGATTAACGGCGGCCCAGCTCCATTCCTGGTCGCAAGCCAACTTTATCCCAGGTCAACACTGTCGATCAACTCGGGGTACTTTAACCTTCCACCATCGGACCATCGGAAGGATTTTCGACCTTCACAGGTCTCGATCCCGGGGACATTGGTGCGTGCTGCACCAGTAGTGCCTGACCTGATTTCTGATTCGTTGAGATATGGATGGGTTATAAGCAAAATATTGAATAAACCTCCCACGACAGTCTTACAAAAGGACAACACCACGTTGATGGCTCACCCATGGAGCATGGAGAAGAGACGTGGCCCCACAAAGCGTCAACGTACTGTCTGTTAAAATCGAGTTCCGACTATCAAGATTCGTCCATGTGAACGGAATCCATGTGAGTCCGTGACGGGGTCGCACGTATTTTGTCTCGTTCCGTAGCCACCGTATGATTCCGGCAGTCAAAATTCTCAACACACTCGATGTGCGTGGCACAGAAGCGGCGGTGGTGCGACGTACGGCTATGTGGGTGAACACGCCCGTTTCTATAGCTGATTAGAACCCCACCCATCCGTAAACTAATCACAATGAAATGATCTTGCTGGCGCATGTGAATGTTTTGAGCAGATACCAAGCGGTAAAACCCTTTCAGCGCTGGTCCGGTCAAGTCAAACCCAGCCCGTCACCCCGCTCCAGCCCTGCACCACATACCACCCTGTCCGATGTCACAACCGTCCTAATTTCCCCCTCAGCACTTCATTCGCGTAAGCTCCCGCGTCCATCCTGCTCTCCTCTGAAAAACACACGCCCACCCGAGAGGCTCTGCGACCTTGTCTCATTTCAACGAGAACGCAAGGCTCTGTGAGCCCTTAGTAAGCATCGATTACCACCCAAACATTTAACACATCCTAATCCAAAGCACACTGTGCCAACTCGTTGGCGTAGCGGACGTCGGCAGAGTCTCCTGCCCTCATACCTCTCATACAAGAACCTTCCACGCATTGAATCCTCCCTCGCCCCTCCTTCCCCGTCAACTGCCACTTGAACACCAGCCTTTGTTCAACCATGGTCAGAGCAGGTCAACTCCTGACATGTTTTCCGCCTCCTGCTCCTTACATGCGCTCGTGGGCGGTCCGGGCGACGTGGAAGAAGTGGCCCACGTGGTCCTCTGGAGTGCCTGGCAGCACACCATGCCCAAGGTTCATAATGTGGCGCACGCCAGCAGATCGGGCGGCCTTGATTGTATCCATGACGCGCGTCTCGATGAAGTCCTTGGAGCCGAACAGCACGCCGGGGTCCATGTTGCCCTATAAAGGTCGGGGAACAAGGGACCCAGAATGGGGCCAAATGAAAACAGGGTTGCCAGGACGAGGAAAATAAGCAGACTGAAGAGGATGTCGCCGACGTGAGCCTAGTGCTCGGCCTCCATGTCAGACCCGTCCGCCCAAGTATCCACCCCCAAACGTCCCCAAATCAACACCTGGAAGGCAAAGTTGGCGCCGCATCGCTTCACGCCGTCTGTGAAGTCCACCGACTGGTCCAGAGAGATGATGTCGGGCTGCGCGGCAGCCATGCGCTCAAGCAGACCGCCCGAGCCTGGAGATCGGCGGGGGAGTCGGCGGGGAAATCGTGAGCCCTTGCGTATAGGTTGCGAATGCAGGAAGACTGCCCCCTTAAGTAAACAGTCTATCACCAACTCCGTATACGGCACACAACATCCCGTGGAAAGAAATCCGTCTTCACTTCGCATTCAGCAGACAGGACGTACTGAGACACAAGGGCAGGAGACTCCAGCTTTTCCAAGGAGATAATGGCAACACTCTGGGATTAGATCAAGGCTCGTGTCTCCCATCCTCCTCTTCGTATTCCCGCACTTCATTTGCTCCATCTCCACGGAGAACCATCACCAAGACCACCGGATGCCACCCACCTGAGATGTAAAGGATGATAGGGAGGTTGGGGTGTGTCTTGCGGACGCTGTCGATCACCTTCTTGATGTACGGCCCGGAGAACACGTCGAAGTCCTGGGGCTGCAACTCCGAAGCCCAGCTATCGAAAATCTGCACCACCTGAGCACCCGCGTCGGCCTGTTGGAACCGGGTGCAATGTTCAAGGTCAATGCTCAATGTGATGCTGGATTTCAGACAGGGACGGAACGGAGTCGCTAGCGGCGGTTAGGAGCCGGATGTGTTCTAAGCTGCGCTCCGCAGCAGATGGCTGGGCCTGTCTCTTCACCGTTGCGCTTTTGAAACTTTTCAGCTGGTGGCAATGTCTAAAGTTCTCAATAACAATAAGACGACCACTTATCACCTACGCAACCTCACGTAAACTCAGCCATCCAGAACGCACATTTTTTAAACCTACACAGTCACATCGACGCACCTGGTAGCGCACGTAGTCGGCCACATTGTCCGCCAGCTTGTCCAGCAGCGCGTGCAACACTTCCGGAGTGGAGAAGGCCATCTTCTTAATGTGCGCAAAGTTCTTGGACGAGCCGCCCTCGACAATGTACGTCGCCAGGGTGAAGGGCGCACCCACGAAGCCCAGCAGAGTGGCCTGTACAACAACAAAAGTCCGACAAAGCACAAGACGTCGTTCATGAGGCTGCGCTGCCAGTTCAGGGCAGGCTCAAGGTGTCGCCCACGTGTCCTTCAAGCTGGAAAGCACAAGGTTAGGCAGCTATTGGCAACTAGTGCGCACCTCTTCCCATCGCCACTCCTCGCAAAGACCAGCGTCCTTCCTCGACTTCAACATGGCCAGACAAGACGCGGAGACAGCTACTAACCTCAAAGCCACTTCACTCACCTGGTTGCCGATGTACGAGCGCAGCTGGCGCAGAGACTCGCCGACGAAGGGGCAGGCGGCGTCCGCGTCCAGCTTCGTCACCTTCTCTACTTGCTGTGGGGACAAGTGCGCGGACAACCCAGAGTAAGATCATCCGATTGTAGGGAATGAAAAGGCACGAAGGTTCAGAGCATGAAATTCTCTTTTAGATTTAATCGTATAGGTGATTTTTTACCTGCAGCTCACCGTCAAGGGGCAAACTTTACCACAACACCAGGCCAATCCAGGTTGACCCAAATAAATGCCAGCTAACCCCAGGCCGACCCAGATCGACCCAGATCATATACCAGACACTACCGCATCACAGCAGGTCTACGACGTCGCTTACCGCCATAGTGCGAATAGGGTCCATAATGATGGGGCCGGGAGCCATGTCGAAGGGGATGTTCATGCCCGGCAGCGGGGTCAGGATGTCCGAGAACAGAATGACGCCATCGGGCTTGAACGCGTGCCAGGGCTGCAGAGAAATCTCCACCTGGTGACAGAGGGCGCGAGAATGAGAAGGGGACGAGTGAGAACACACAGACCAATGGAACGAACATAGGTGTCGAAAATTGAAAAGGAACAGGTTATGATGCTAGGGAGATGGACACGGCAGGTGCTCTTAGAAAGGTGCGTTCCACATGTGGGGAGCAAACCCAACGTGTCGCTCGCGAGAGCCCAACACGCCTTTGGATGATACCGCTTTGCACAACGCGACGACTTTGGACGAATGTGACATACTATCAGTACAATACACATGGCTGCAGCGGCAACCATATCGGTAGCAGTGGCAAGCCAACAAATACGCCCAGAAAATTCCCCGCTCTTAAGTCTACACACGCGCAGTCCAAAGGAGGACGCATTCCTATTGCCCCTAGGCCGATGGAACTGCTCCCGCCTGAGCTGGGCGCAGATCCAGCACTCCCATCTATAGCTCTTTCCAACAGCTTGTTGGACCCGGGAGCGGATGTGGCCTTAATTTGCGCCGTAAGCCAGCCGAAAGCGACATCTGCCGATGTGGGTTACGGCTGGGGCCGGTAAGTCCACACGGCAAATCCATCAAGTCCCCAGGAGGTGGGGTTTTTAGATAGTAAGAACACATGGATCTCCCTTCACCCCCTGAAACAAGTAGTACAAATGGGCTTATTGTGATCCAGACAGTCCATAGCAGTACCATACGTAAAGGGGTAAGACGCATATACCTATGGGTATATGCATCATATACCCAGGGCTGGGTTCAATACTCAGATCCCAGGCAACGAAAACCCAACAAGGGAATATCGTCCTGATATTTGTGACTCACAGCAAGGTCAACGCGCTCCGAGCGCTCGCGGAACGTGGGGTGCTTCTTGCAGAGGTCCTGGTACACCTTTTGGTAGCGGCCGGCCTGGCGCATCATCCACACCGGCGGCCGCTCCACCTTCTCACCGCGCAGGGCGCGCAGCATCAGTGGCTCATCGACACTGGAGCTGGAGGCCGGTGCAGGGGCCACAGCTGGAGCAGCGGCGGCACGCACAGTCACCGCGGGGGCACGCTGGGCCTATGCGGGAAGCAAAGACGTTGAGGAAGAGGGGTTGTGTAACTTTCACAAGAGGCACAAGAGAATAACAATAATGTTTACATATTAACTCCTGGCTCGTTTGTGGAGCACGCTAAGGACTGGGGAACGTGCTGAGCATCATATGCGCAGCTAGAACCATTTTTCTGCGCAGGAAGCAGGACCTAGATCTCAGGACGCAGGTGAGTAAAACACACATCGAAGTCCTGGTTAAGAGCATAATACTGTCGGTAAGGGCAGTCGTTATATAGTCGATGAGCCTCGGCCCGGCAAAATGGTTTCTGCGATTAAGGCGGATCCGATTGCCGAGAATGACTGCATGCTGACTGTTGAACAACGATAGACAATTGACGGCGTACACACATTACAATCATAGCTCTTTCGCGTGTAGCGCCGACCCATTTCAGCCCTAAATTTTCCCTACCCAATAACAATAGCCGGATCCAATCTAATTTCGTGCTCGTGAAGCATACCTTAAGCGCAGCCATACGCTGCGGCCGCGCCGAGGTGAAAGCCTTGGTCTGCATTTTGGAGAAACTGAGGACAGCAGACACTACTGTTGTCCTAAAGTAACCAGAAGTCAGCGTCCCACAGCGTTATAAAATATCCCCTGTGCGGCAGTCTTTCACTGCAATTGAGATGGTCCTCGCGGATCTGCCGTACTGCCGGTTAGTGAACTTCAAAGCTCTTCTGGACTTAGAGACATGCACCGAACCATACCATGATTTCGTAAATGTTACAAGATTACGTTCCTGCCTTTTTATCGGTTCGTGGAAAACCTTTCCGGGCGCGGAGTCCTGTATAATGGTTCCATCGCGAGAGGGCCTGGGCGTCGTCTACCACGGCCGGTGTTTCTTTCCTAAGGTGTAATCACCAGCATAATTATTTCCAGAGTTCTTAATTGCGCCAAGCTTGTGAGCTTGTCGGATGTTGTCCATTCCGTACAGCTGCCTTTGCCCTTAGGCTTCGCTTCCATGTCCCGCGAACGCGCAAACCATGCGCTCCCATAGGCTTCACCTCCATACCAAATCCCCGTTTTTCAATCAGGATAACAACACCCGCCCAAATCTCGTCCACCTTCTCTGTCCTTTGAAACGATGTCCCGTACGGCCTGCTCCAGCAATGGCTTTGGCACAACGGTTATCCCGCGACCCACAATGCCCAGACTCCCTGCTCCATCCAAAACAGAAGATTCACGGAAAGACGCGACGGTCTCGAGCCCAGCGCCGCAAAACCGGTCCCCTCAGAACACATACACGGAACTGCCAAGGGCGACCAACACTGCCTGCCAACGGTGGACGCCCACTGATCGCCTCCGAGCCTTCGTCCCCATAGCTTGCCTTGAGCCGCAACAAGGCGAAAGCAGATATTCCCTCAATGACCTGTTGCGCTAACACCGCACCTGCTGGCCGTTCCAGTTTTAGCCGTGAAGCCGCGCCGAAACCCCGAATGCCTGGCTGCTTGGGCGCCCTCAGCTACAGGGAGGGTCTGCGGACGTGCCGGCAGCTCCCTCACTTGGCAAGCTAGATCCGGATCCGGATGACTTAGGTCCGGATCTTGCTCCGCCGGAACCAGCTGTAGCTGCGCTCCGAAACCCCGTGCATCCACCACCATGCTGTACCCCATGACACCGCGAGGGGTCGCGTGGCACCGCAATAGCAGCAACAGCTCTAGCGGTAGCGGCGCCGCTGGCCGGCAGGGTTGGCGAATGCGGCGGCGGCGTGCCGCCGACAGGCGGCGCAGGGGTGTACGGCGCCGGCGGCGCCACGGGCACCGTGAAACACGCTCCCCGCCGGCCAGCTGCTTAGCTGCAGTCTCACTGTTAGGCCGTTGCCACCGAGCGCCTTCACCAACGTGCTACTGCCGCAGCTGGCGGCGGCACCCTCTACCGCCACCAGCCCGCACTTGCAGGCCGCCATCCATAGGTTTGAAAAACAGCTGGGGGCACTCCCCAGAAACGCCACTGTCTCTTCTGCAGCCGCAGCTTTCGCTGCCATCGTCGTCGTCCCACCCGCCTCGGCTGCCCCGCCCCCCTTCCTATTTCCGAACCAGCTCACCTGCACCTCGAGACGTGATACCAGGTTTCGTAAGGGTTTGCAAATGCAACTTGATAGCCATGACGTGCAGCAATAGCTGTTTTCGGAGCTGTTTTCGGAGTGCCGTACTGGCAACGGAAGTGGCAGCATGACATTCCCCACACGGCCCCAATGAAGCAGCGGGCTGCTGTGCTTCAGCGCCGTCGCCAGCGGCCCTTGGAGGTGCCGCAGCTTCCGCACATCGCCGTACAAGTCGTTCAAGGTGCCACAATACTGGATTGTCCAATGTGTTTAGATGCGCTTTTTTGTCCCGGAACGTGGCCGGCCGGAGGGCGCCGACACAAGGCCGTGGCCGAACAAGGCACGTGGAAACCCGTGAACAGCATACAAATTCGCCACCTCCGCCATCGGTTCCATCTGCAACTGCTGCCACATCCTGCACCCCCGGTCGGGGGATGTGATGCACCGCCGGATTCATAGGGCGCCACGAGCCGAATGGCAGTACGGGCATACGGTGACATGCCAGCATCGGGCTACATGCTCCAGAAAGCAATATGCATGGTCTTACTTGCTGTAACAACTCTCACAGTCCGACACCAACATTGCGACCCCGTTTTTGCCGTGCTTTATCACTTTACTAAAGCTCTTAGGTGCGGTGTCGTACATTGTATGACGAACTTGGCCTTGAGGAAAGTCACCTACCTGGAGCTGCATGGAGGTGGGCACCACACAGGCCAGGGGGTTGACTACCTTACAAATAGTCATGTGCGGGCTGTCGGTGGGAAGGCCGGAAGGGGGGAAGAAGCGAGGTTCGTTCGACTGCAGACGTTTTCAGCACCAACTGCTGCAGCTCCCCCCTTCCCTTAGGGAGACTAATGCGGGGAACTAACGTGTTGCGTGATGAATATACGCATGTTGCCTAGATAAAGGATGGGATGGCATGCATGGATGAGACACATCGGTGATTAGTTCCTCTTTGAGTTCGTAAACCCTACAGCGCTCGCCGGATTTCGGATTTCGGATTCGTGGATGTGTGGAAAAGGAGAATCGAATCATTGATCAAACAGATCTCGGATGGTATGACTCAATTGCGAGAGCAGATCTCTGAAAAATCGAACGCAAATGCCGTGGGGCGAGCGGGGTGTTGATGGGCTGATGGTGGGTCGGATTTGGGTGGACTTCGTGCAAGTGAAGCTGGGTTCTGGAGCGGCTCTTCATAGCCGTCGTCGTTGTCATTGTTATTGTGGGCGAGGGCGAGGGCAAGGGCGAGGGCGAGGGCGAGAGCGAAGGCTCCAGCGGCCCGTTGCAGGGGCGGTGACCGTGTGATGTTGGCACAACTTGGGCGGGTCCCGGATCGGAGTGGGTGACGAGGGTAAGTGGCGATGGCTGGGAGGCGGGCTGTGCGAACAACTCAGTCCAGCGCAGCTGAAGTGCTGGCGCCCGGTGTAACGACGGTTCTGCAGTTCTCCGCAAGGGCGCAAATTGACTGCATAAATGTTTACCACATATTAAATGCCATCAACATGCCTTATGTAGAATAAATGAACTTTGCGTTCGAGTGCCTGGCTGGTAGCAAGAGCTTTCCATGCACTAGGAATGGACGAATTAGCATAGACTATTTATTGGTTCTTGTGTGATTACGAGAACTATTGGTAATGCCTGGAGCTACGTTAATATGACGTTTGACGTTTTTGTGTTACAAGCTTTCGAGCTTGTACGGTCCAAACGAGCCAAGAGGCTCATGAACCGCCGAACTGGAAACAAGAACATATAAAGGTAGTAAATTAACCTTACTGCAAAAAACATATTTAATCATCAATAAATTGTAACCTGCATCTTCTGATATGATCCAAAACATGTGCTAGTCCGCGTTGGTTCTCAACGCCCATAACGTCTATCATGCGGTCCTCGGGAGACACTCCAAGCTCAAATAGCTTGGTGCGAATATCCGCGTACGCAGGGCACTCAAGCAAAATATGACGCTCGTCCTCAACTGCTTGACGGTTCCCACATACACGACACCACCGCGCTGCTCTTTCCCTGCCATGAGGACGATTCACTGCAAGCGGCCACACACACATCCTAAAACGCATCAGCGTGACATGTTGCTTCGGCGAAATATATCCAGTGCAGTGCTTAGGCAACCCCATCCACTGCTTGTACCGGCACATTTCACCCCTGGTTGTTTGTTGTCGGAAACAAATGTCCTAGGATCCATTTCTAGTCGCTCACTCTCCCAATCGTCATCAAATCGCCCGCGTAACTCCTGCATCAACTGGCCTATATCCAACGAACATGACGTGAGCGCATCAACTCTAGCCTCAACATCCTCATCACCCGCCATGTCATGACCAAGAATCTCGAGTATCTTCAGAACCTTCGAACCCCAACCATCGTATGCCATGGATGAAATTAAAGCCAAACGTATCTCCTCTCTGAAGCAATGATGGTACACGGTGCCCTTCGCCTTAACCAGCTTATTCCAAAAACGGAATATCAGATTCGCCCAGTGAACTTGCAAGGGATATTGCCCAAACTCCCTAAACAACAGTCGATTCGTGGGATACGTTAATATCAGCGAGTCAGCCTCTGTTTACCGTTGCACCTGGATTTGGTCGCGTGTTTAACGGTAAAAACGGCATGGTGCGCGCATCGAAACGTATTCTGTGTTGTCATACCGCATTTAGTGCAAAGCTTAACAGTAGGGCTCTACTTACAGGTAGTTCTTTTGCGATTAGAATGTCGACCGAGGAAGCTTCCTCTTCACGTAAACTCGCAGAAGAAGTTCTTGCGCCGCCATGGGGTTCATTAGGCCGATCTATAACTCTAGGCATTGTGTCAAGTTTCGCGCGGCTTATACTCACCGTGCTCAACAAGACCGAAATCATCAACCAGGACCGACTCATCAATGTGATAGAGAACCGACAAAACACCGCTGGCGTCTTGACAGTTTGCAACCATACAAGGCAAGTATGATGCTTGTCTTGCACAGCGTGCCCGCCTTGGATGACGGTTCCCTGCCCTTTTCCGATGTGCAGCATGTTTGATGACCCTGGCGTCCTCAGCATCATCATGCCATGGTCGTGGCTGTGGATGGACCCTGTGCAAAACCACGTGCGGTGGTCGCTGTGTGCCAAAGAAGTCTGTTTCAAGAACGAGCTCCTTCGGTGGGTGGAGCCTCCAGCACTCAACCTGCTTTCCTCCGCCAAGCAGCAGCCTTCCAGCCGCCCCTTCCCCCTCTGGGTCTACCAACCTTGCTAAGGTTCCAATGTTACCATTTATCTAACCACTGCGTGATCGCTGCACCTTTTGCTCCTCCTCTACGTCCCTCTGGAGTCATATTCCAGTGCCTTAGGAAAGTCACACAACATTACGACAGCGTGAGCATCGTACCAACATATCCCCGCCATGACTTCAACGGAGGATCAAAAAATGATTTTTCGCCTCGCGCAGCTCTATTTTTTTTCTCTATCACTGAGTACCTACGGTCTCTCACGTCCTGTAACCCAGCAAAGGCAGTTTTTTTTGCATGTGGTCCGATGAACTGATGGATGGATGGATGGATGGATGGATGGATGGATGGATGGATGGATGGATGGATGGATGGATGGATGGACGGATGGATGGACGCCGCCGCTACGTTGACCACTGCGCTGCGCCAGCTTTGGACTGCTGCCCTGCCTGATGCCGCTGATGATCTTCCCCTAGCTCAGCCTCTGGCCCTTCCCTTGACTCAAACTTCCTTCCCTCCCCTTTCATCTCCGAAGGCAGTTCTTTCTCTCCGGGAAAACTCTTCCTGTGGAGCGAGGGAAAGGCAGGTGCCGGGGAGCCGTGTCTGTCTATCTGTCTGTCTGTCTATCTGTCTGTCTATCTGTCTATCTGTCTGTCTGTCTGTCTGTCTGTCCATCTGGGGGAAAGAGCCCGGACTATCCGAACTTTCTCAATATATTACAAGTCGGTTCGCCCCCAATCCCAACCCACCCCACCAACCCCCCACACCCCTTTCAAGCTACTGTCCCGGAATCACCGCCCTCTGCCATGACGTCTCTGCCTCCCCCTTCATCAGCCTACACCTTCCCATCATCCACTCTCCTCTCCCCCCTTCCATCCGCCATACTCCCTGCCCCTCCTCCCCCCCTCCCCCTCCCCCCTCCAGCTTACCCGCCCTTACTAAAGCCCCTTTTCATCCGCCCCTCTTCCTCCTCCCCCGTCCCCCTCCCCTTCATCGCACTCCACCCACCAACCCACAGCAGGTGTGCACCAGCCGGTCGTGTCCCTGGCCTCCATGGCGCTCGCCTCGGGCCAGTGGGTGCACGTGTTCCCGGAGGGCCGCATCAACTACGACGGCCGCCTGGGGCCGCTGCGTTGGGGCTGCGGCAAGCTGGTGTGCGAGGCGCGGCAGCTGACCGGCGGCAGGGACCCCGTGGTGCTGCCCTTCTACCACTCCAACATGGGCAGCGTGCTGCCGCTGTCCGGAGGGGGGTTCTCAGTGGGGCATAAAGTGGAAGTGCGCATAGGTGAGGTGATGTGGGTAGGGGCGGGGCGGGTAGGCCAGGGGAGGGGAGCATGGGGGTAATACGATATGACGAAGCACAGGCGATATATGAAAAGAAAAAATATATATATATATATATATATATATATTTTTTCTTTTCATATATATATATATATATATATACCAGAGATAGACGGATACTCCATCCAAAGAGAAGGGGGGGTGAGCGTGTGCAGGGGCTAGATAGCCTCCATGCGAGTGAACGTGGTTAGATAGCCTCCATGCGTCGCAAGGTGGGGCCCCCGGGGTATATCCCAATCATGTGGTCCTCTCCTCCCATTCGCCCGGCGTCCCTAGGCGCCGTGGGCACCCCGCATACCCAGCAAGGCGGTGGGCCCGGCTGGGCCCGCCCGGTGCAGCGGAGCGGGACGAGGGCCGTGTTGGGGGGGGAAGGAAGGGAGGGCAGCTGGCTGGGAGGCACCCTCGACGCCAGGGAGGGCTCTGTCTTTCTGCTGGATCCGATGCCGCTTTCCAAGGCCTCCGTCGCCGACCCGTTTCATCTTTGCTGCAACAGCAGCTTTTAACCGCCACCATCTGGAATCATTACACACACCACCACCACCCCACCACCCAACAACTCCCCGGCGGCCCCCCCCCCCAGGTGAACCCCTCCAGCTCGCCGACCTCACCTGTCGGTGCGACTCCCCCAGTCTGGCTGAGCAGCAGGAGACCTGGCGCCTCATCACGGAACGCGTACGACTGGCGCTTCTGGATCTGGAGAGGCAGAGCCCGCCTAACCCCGACCAGAGCGCCAACGTACCCGCAAAAGGAGGTCCGCCGCCCTCTTGAAAACCGGGAGGAGGGGGGAGAGGAAACGGCTGGGGTGCCGTAGGATACAGATTAGGATACAGCTTGGTGTATCTCTTTATTAATATTTTAAAGGGGATTTAGAGGCCCGCGAGGGAAGAAGGGGGAGGTTTGGTGGGTGCGGTATGTGCGCGGGGTAGGGGGGCCCCTCATATATACCCCGTACCATGCATGCTGCTAGCTATGTGCGTGTGGTGCGGGGGCGCGTGTGTGTGCGTGTGTGTATGTGTCTCTGTGTCTGTGTTGAGGGAGGTTGATGATGCGTTGTGGAGAATACAAAAGGAATCAAGCTCCGTAGTAGCAGTGCGTGTGGAGTGCTTTTGGAGGTGGTGGAGGTGGAGGTCGCTGTGGTGAGCTGCATGTGGTGGTCTCCGTGAGCCCTTTTAGAAGACGTGAAATAGCCCTCATCCCCTTTCTTTATTATCGGACGGACGCTTGTGTACGTGTGCTGCGATGCGGGTTTGTCGTATGTTTCCTGTACGGCGTGTGTGGCCGTCGTACACCGTACATCGTACCATGCGCCCATGGGCCTTGGGCACCCAGCAGTCAACGGATGTAGGATGTAGGCACCGGAGGCTTGTTGTGATCACCTGCCTGCGGATTAAAACCATTTTTTGCTTTTTTAAGGCAACGGTGATATTTTTTTGGCGATGCGTCACACGAAAGTTTCTCTTGCTACGGCCGTCCCCCTTCCTTCCTTGGCAGCGCGGGGCGAGGCGATTTTCTGATTTTTCACTTCTCTGAAGCAGTCTCTGGCTGTCAGGCAGGAGGAAGGACAACATAAGCAGGTCTAGCAGGAAAGGAAAGCCACACACGAGTAATGCCTTTTTGTTTTTGTGCGCGAACTTGGCTCCGAAACCTCCTACATCGCGTATCGTAACCATTCATCAGTTAGGAACGGGTTATTAGAGGAATCCCCCAACGAGTGGCGCACGATATCGTATAACTGTGCAACAAGGCCAACACGTGAAGGCATCACCACGGAAACCCTAAGTTAACTATGTACCCATGAAGATGTGCTGAAAACGCGTCCTAGATGTCTGACGTGGACCACTGATCTATCTCGATCCGTGACATAACCTGGTGACTATTAGCGTGAAGTAAGGACTGACGTTGTGGGCTTTACAAAAAGTCTGGGCGGTTATTTTTACAAACGCGCACAGCGTTCTCGTTTACAAACCAGGGGAGTGAGGCACTTCGATGTACGACGTGTACGACGTACGACATCCCCAGACCTGAGAAAATGCGTTCCGTTTCTGCCGTATGCGGCTTTCCTTGTGTGTGCAGAGATCCAACGAACGACGAACATGTACAAAAAAACATGAATCCGCTTCCAGGTTCCAGCAAAAAGCAGATGTAGTAGACGTGATGATTCTTAGGTCGTAAGGACTCCCTTCGCTCCGAAATCACTGCTGTGCGGCAGTACGACGGTTCCCACCATCTGGAAACTTTTCCTCTCTTCCCCTGCCAAAACCCACCCACGGCGAAAATCCGGGCCCCTCTCCACACACACACACACACTCTCCGCCCGCCAGCTCCAACCCGTTTACTTACCCGCCACGTGCACATCTGCGTACGGGTACCGCTACAAGCCCCTCGCGGACCCCATCCCGCCAATCCACATACATACATACATACATACACACGGAAGCCGGCCGAATCCCAAACGTCCCATCTCCGCAAAAACAGCACCCCCAAAAGATATCCCTTTCGGCGTTCGGAGCAAAAAAGGAAGCACCTTTCCGGTTGTTGCATATGCGCATACATACATACATATAGACATGCGAGGTGGCGAGGCCAAGAAACAGTACAGCTATTGGGCCCTCGACCCGGCCCGGAACCACCTATTTGGTTTTCACCGTGTCGGGGCCTCGCCAATTTTCCCCACCTTAAATTGGCCTGCCATAAACACCCATACGTAAATACGCACATGCGCCATAACATGCACACAGACAGACAGACAGACAGACAGGCACGATGTCGAGCCTGCAAGCTGCAAGGTCAAAGCCAACTAACATTTACCGACACTAGCAAACGTAACGGCAAAAAGTTCAAGAAGAGGACTACCACGCGCCTGATCAAGCTCAAAGGCCGTTGCCGCCCCCGCCGAGCGCCATCTGCCCTGTCTCCAGGCTAAGGTCCGGACCCGGGGAGTCCGAACGCCATGGTGACATGGGCCGCAGTGCGGCGACGTCGTGGCCTTGTACGGCCGCGGCCACCGCCGCCGCGCCAGCGGCGGCAGCCGCCGCCATCATGCCAGCGCCGGCCGACGCCGCCAAATGATGGCTGTGATGATGGTGTTGGTTGTGATGATGATGATGATGTTGGTTGTGATGATGGTGTTGGTGGTGCTGCTGCGGCAACCCAGTCGCCGTCGACGCCGCCGCCACCGGTGTCCGCGGCGCACGCGGAGGCGCTATTCCCCCCGACACCGCCACGCCGCTACTACCTGGCGTGTGGACTCCTCCTCCTCCTCCTCCGCCGCCGCCGCCGCCGCCGCCGCCACCACTCGCAGTGCCTTGCCGTGACGGCAACTGCCCTTTCATGATTCCCCCCGACACGGTCTCCACCTTGACCCTGATACCCCGGGCGGATGCCGTACGAGCAGCGCCGGCGGAGGCGAGACGCTCCTCCCGGGTTTGCTGTGGCGGCAGCGACGCAAAGCCACCCGCGTCCACCGCCGCCGCCAGGCCGCCAGCGCTAGACGCGGTGCCAGGTGCAGTACCAGGGCTGCCGGGGGCGCCGCCGCCGCCGCCACCGCTGCTGCCGATGGGCCCCGAAGGCAGTATCTCCATGAGACTGTTGGTGCTCCGGAGCTTCGCGTCGGCAGTCGCGATGCGGTTGGTGAGGCGGGCGTTGATGTGGGCGCCGAGGCTGGCGGCCCGGTTTCCCTGCACGCATGTATGTAAGTAAGTATGTAAGTAAGTAAGTATGTAAGTAAGTAAGTAAGTAAGTAAGTAAGTATGTATGTATGTATGTATGTATGTATGTATGTATGTATGTATGTATGTAAGTATGTAAGTATGTAAGTATGTGAGGGGAAAAAAGTGGTCAGGTTTTCCTTTATGGGTGCTTTTTTTCTACCACCCCGTTCCCAAGCAGAGTCCCGCGTTGGGTCATCTTCTCTTCCCCCTGGTCCCAACCCTAACCGAGTGGAGCACACCCGGGTAACTTCCCTCCCCACAATCACCCCACTCCGCCCTCCTCCTTCAGATCCCTCGGCTCTCTACCACCTCACAACCCTTGCATTCTACTCGCGTGGCGGCGGCTCAGACATCACAAATCAGGTACACAAACACACCCACTGAGGAGAAGCGTGGCTCCACGGTCCCCCAAAAAAACCTTCTTCCCCGCCCACACCCACACATCACGGAGCCCAACCACACACATACACCTACACCACACACCCCAACACCCACGCACCTGTATCGAGGGCAGCAACGGGTCCGTCAGCGGTAACTTGTCCGGAGTGAACATCCGGTCGTCCTCGCGGAAGCCCATCGCCCGCAGGTCCCGTACGGACCGAACCCGGGAGTCGCAGCACAGGCAGGAGGGGGCCCCGGCGGTGCCCGCAGTGAGGTGGTCGGTGGCCAGCTGGGACTTGGTGCCGAAGGCCAGAGGGCTCCAGTCGCGGAGACGGTCCTCCACGTCAGCGAGGATGGCACGTACCTGGGAAAAGGAAAGGGAAGGGAAGGGAAGGGAAAAGGGGGGGAACAGAAGGAAGCGGGAGGGACGGGGGGGTTTTAGAGGAGGTGTGGTTCGGGTGGAGGCGGGGGGTGAGTTAAGAAGAGGCGTACGGAATGTAAGGATGATCACTGGTATACTGCCTTCTGCTGCCCGGGGGGGTTACTACCTGCACGCCGCGTTGCGGAGCCCCCTCCCTCCCTCCCTCTCTCACCCTTCCCTCCCTCCCATCACCCTCCTCCACACACACACACCTGCAACTTGAACTCATTAAACTTGAGCAGGTCCAGTTTCTCCCCCAGCGCCGCCGACACCTTGTCACTGATCGCCCGCAGGCCCTTGAGCAGCGCCGCCTCCAGCCCCTCCACTCGCCCACACAGCCGACCGTCCACACCCGCCAGCTCCTCGCGGTCCACCTTGGACCCAATGCCCGCCAGCATCTCCCCCTTCAGCCGCTCCAAGTGCAGGTCCAACTCGTGGGCGTGCTCTGTGAGCAGCGCCTCCAGGTCGGATGTCAGCACCACCTCGCCCCTATTGGGGGTGGAGTCTGCCAGGGACTCGAGACGCGACTCCAAACCCGCAATCGCCTTTGTGTGGGAGCGGGTGGGGTGGGGTGG